ATTTAGCTTTTAAGATGCCAAAATGTAAATCTTCTAAAAAGTCTCGTCAACATATTGACACTGATGAGTACAATGAATTTTTTCGGGAATCTGACAACTTTATTAAAACAGCGGAATGTCAGCTCATTACTACAATATCATTGACTGGTGATGAAAAATGTATTACAGTATTTAAATGGCAGAACAAGTGTGAACGGTATAAGAATATTATAAGGGAATTTTTTCATAAGTCCAAATTCTCTTCATCACAAAGATCTAGGTGCTTACATTTAATTGAAAAAATGGAATACTTGCGCTGCCATTTTGATAATGTAATGAAACGCGGTGCAGGTGTGCAAGTGTCGAATGATAGAATGAAATGGGTGGATTTAGATGAAGCGTTTAAGGGTAGGTTACAAAATAGTGCTGTAATGAATTTAGATTACAAGGACATCAAGGAATTCCTTGATGATGCATTTAGTTTATTTAAGGTTAACATTAAAAAAGCGTTAAACCGGTTTGATCCGTTGAAAGTGTATACAGTATTGTACGCGAAATTTGTTAAAGATTCAATCGATGGAAAAACGGAAGAAATATCTGATTTAAAGAGATTTATCGCAAGAACTGGTGATATTTTAGTTACAACATTATTAGATGACTGGTAAAATGTAAATGTTAAACAAGTAACCTTAAAAAGAATGGAAGAATTCCAAGAGAAAGATTCTAATTGGAGACTTCATTCTATTGAAAGGTTGGAGGTTAACATTAACAAATACAATCCTATGCGCACAAGTTCTTATTGGTGATTGGTTAGACCAACAGAATGTTTTTAATGATTGGATAATAGTTAATTTGGGGTTAACCCTGGGTGAGTGCTAAAAACAGCCTGAAAAAGCACTTTAAATGCTCGTTTGGGGGACGAGTACACTGATAGAAAAGTGGATATTAAAAATCTTAATATACTAAACATTAAGAAAAGATGCTAATGCATATCATCTAGATATTAAAAAGTATAATCTGTAAATGTGAGGTTATGTTTGAACAAGTCTTCTTCCAATATATGAGATATTAAATTAAAACATCTAAGATGTTTACTGTCACAGATATTGACCATTAATATCTAGATAATAAAGCTTAATATCTATTTTTCTCAGTGTACTAATACAAAAGTTAGATTTTAATAAAAAAAAATAAGTTAACAATAGTTGAAACCTATTACATTACTTTGACGTTACTTTTACATAAGATTAACTTTAGTTTAACATTAGTTTAACGTTAGTTAACTATACTACATATTAGATTTTTTTCTCCAACTGTTTTGTGAGTTATTGAATCTAATCCATTTTCATTTTTACTTTATCTTAACGTAATTTTATCTCATTCTACTTATTCTTCAACTTTATTTTAACTATACTTTAACGTTAATTTAACTTATTTTAACGTTTGTTAAACTTATTTTAACTATATCTTACCTTTATTTTATTGTTACTTTAACTTATTTTAACGTTACTTTAACTTATTTTAACAATACTTTAACTTTACTTTAACGTTACTTTAACGTTACTTTAACTTTACTTTAACGTTACTTTAACTTTACTTTAACTTTACTTTAACGTTACTTTAACTTTACTTTAATGTTAGTTCAACGTTACTTTAACTTTACTTTAACGTTACTTTAACGTTAGTTCAACGTTACTTTAACTTATTTTAACTATATTTTAACATTAGGGGAGATTGGGGAATTTTGGGCCACCTCTATTATTTAATAATATTTACAAGTTTGATCATACACTTTTTTATTATTTTCTTCTGTTCGTCCAAAGTAGTTTTTCATTAGCATTTCATAACTTTACAACGCATTACAATTACCTACCAACCGTTAACAAAAATCACCTGAAAAATTGCATTCAAATATTTATTTTGGGTTTTCTATGTTTTTATTGTTTATACAAGGATTTTCAAGAATTAATTATGGAAAATATTTTATTTAATTATTGTGTGTCATTGGTACTTTGACTTCAAAAAAGAAATCTTGCATTAAATTAAAATAAATAAATAATTCAAAGCTTTTTGTAAAATGAAGCATTTGGGGAATTGTGGGACATTTTTTTTTGTTGAAGTATTTGTTGCTTATTTTTGGCGATTTAATTGGAAATATTATTAAAATCACTCATAGTTTTAGTAATTTAACAAAAACAATTATATTCATTGCGATTCAAGCGATAGAGCTGTTTACTTAAAATGTGTAATTAATTGAGTCTATTTTACTAGTCTAAATTGTGATTCCCATTAATTTCATTTTCTTACTTTTTGTTTTCTAATTTTAAACTAATAATTAAACATTTATAACAATTTTAATATTTCTAACCATTTAATTATATTATTCATCGTTATTTTTTATTTTGAACTCAATTTAGACAGTGGCGCACAATTCCCCAACATTTTTAAAAATCATAAAAGTGCACTCTTTAGTAAAACTGAAATTTCTTTTAGATAAGTGATAATTTTGGTAAACTATGATCTCCTCTACTTTAACTTATTTTAACGTTACTTTAACGTTAGTTCAACGTTACTTTAACTTATTTTAAATTTTTTTAACATTATTTCAACTTAATTTAACTTATTTTAACTATGTTTTAACATATTTGAACGTTATTTTTATATTATTATTATTATTCGAAGTTTAGAAATATTGTCAAGTTTTTCTGTATTGAATTTCAGATAGAATTTCTTAGAAAATATTTTTATTTCAATCTTTAAAACTTAAGGTTAGCTACATAACATTTAAACTTGTTAAAATAATTGAAGCCTTTCTAGGTCATGAAGAGATTCTAATTTCTATTTTACAGCGATTACAGATGTAAATATCATGAATTTTTATATAAAGAAAATTCTGAAACAAAAGAAAATAAGTTTTCTTTTTTTTCTTAAATTAATCGGTACCGCTGAAATGCTTCAATCATTTAATAAGTTTAAAGGTTTTTTTGATAATCTTAAGTTTTTATAGATTTAAATAAAAATATTTTCTAAGTTAAAAATTTAAAATTTTTAAGTTAAAATAAAGTTAAAAAAGTTAAAACATAGTTAAAATAAGTCAAAGTAAGTTTAAATCAGTTAAAGTATCGTTAAAATAAGTTAAAGTAACGTTAAACTAATGTTAAAATAAAGTTAAAATGAGTTAAATTAACGTTAAAATAAGTTAAAATGAAGTTAAATAAGTTAAAGTAACGTTGAAGTAATGTTAAACTAATGTTAAAGTAACGTTAAGATTAGTTAGAATAAGACAAGCTAAGTTAAAATAACATTAAGGTAAAATTAAAAGGTGAAATTGCTTTGATAAATCACACAATAAATGCATAAAAAACTGTAAGAAGAAAAATGAATAGTCAAATGTAATATTTAGATAATCATTTTGACAAGTTTAAAGGTTATGTAGCTAATCTTAAGTTTTATTGATTTGAAAGAATATATATATATTCTCTAAGAAAATTCTATCTGAAATGCAATATGTAAAAATTTGACAATGTTTATAAACTTTGAATAATAATAATATAAAACAACTACTTAACAAAAAATTAATAATACACAAGTAGAAAAAATTGTTTTAGAGTTTGTAGAAATGCCAAAAATCTTTTTTTCAAATAATAGTAATAAAGTAATAACTTTGATATTCATCATAAAAACAATTTTCAATAATGCGTCGATTTAAAAAATATAAAATATTGTTATTTTGAAAATACGTGTTTCACTGAATTTTAAAGTTAGTCTACTACAAGAAGTTGCAGTCGGGTGTGATGGGTAATGAAACTTCTGCGCAAGCTCTTGTCAAGTTCTTTATTCTGTATAATAAATTTGATTGTCTAGATATACTAATATATAATATTTTAGGAAGATAATATTTCTGACTATACAGATTGTATATTTGATTATATATTTTGTAACTATCTAGTTTTGACTATACATTTTTCTTTGTGTGATATATAGTATAGTTAAAGTAACATTAAAATAAAGTTAGAATTAGACAAAATAAGATAAAATAACATTAAAGTAAAGTTAAAATGTGAAATGGCTTGAATTCCATAATTCACACAATAGTTGGATAAAAGATTACACAATTGATGTTTAGTATATGTAATGTTGAACCAATGTAAATAAAAAATGATTTGTTATGAAAAAGGAGGAGTAGCAGGAAATAGTTTTAATAAAAGATGTTCATTTTATTTTATGACTTCTTTATTTAAAAAAACCTTAATTCAGTTACATTACTTAATCTTAACTTATTTTAACGTTACTTTAACTTTATTTTAACGTTACTTTAACATTAGTTTAACGTTACTTTAACATTAGTTTAACTACATTACATGTCAGGTTTTTTTTTATTTAACTATAGTGCCATTTATCGAATCCAAACTATTTCACATTTTAGCTTTACCTTAACGTCACTTTAACCTATTCTAATTACTTCCAACTCATTTTAACTTTACTTTAACTTTACTTTATAACTTATTCTAACTAATCTTAACTATATTTTAACTTATTTTAACGTTACTTTAACTTTAGTCTAACGTTACTTTGACTTATTTTAAAGTTATTTTAACATTTGTTTAAAGTTACTTTAACTTCATTCTATGTCTGATTTTTTTTTCTTCAACTATTATACAATTCATCGAATCCAAACTATTTCACATTTTAGCTTTAACTAAACGTGAATATCTATTCTAATTAATCTTAACTTTAATATAACATTACTTTAACTTTATTTTAACGTTACTATATATTTTGAATTAATTGATTGAAAATTGATTTTAAATATAGATGCGAATTAACGACAGTATTATAGTCGACTTGTATAAGCAAAGGTGTAATAAGTGAAATAAATTTTTTTTTCTATCATGTGTGACCAATTATTAATTGAAAGCGCGAAAAGTAACAATGGAAATGAAAAAATAAATATGAAAGAAAAGTTTGAAGAAAAAATAAAAAATTATCGTCAATCTGAAAACTCACTTCTTATAAAATCTATGGTACACTATAATGAACTAATAAAAGAAGAAGTTGAGGAAGCTAAAGAAAAAACGAAAAAGTCATCTCTTGATTACAGACGTCTTAACCGGTATGCAGTGTTGTGTATTGGTGGAATTAAAAAATTGATTAAGCCAACAGTTAGTGACTCAACGGATATTAAATATTATGTATCAAATTGTGAACTTTTCGATATAATTTATGAAGCGCATATAAATTGTGGTCACGGTGGTCGAAATAGATTAGAAAAAGCTCTAAATGCTAAGTATGCAAATGTTTGCCGAGAAATTATACTAATTTTCCTCAAATTGTGTGTAGTGTGTCAAAAGAAGAAAAATCATCCAAAAAAAGGTCTCGTTGTAAAACCGCTTTTGTTTAAAGAAATTAATGTTAGAGCACAAGTCGACCTAATTGATATGCAAACATGCAAAGATGGTGATTTCAAATTCATTTTAAATTACCAAGATCATTTGACTAAATTCATCATGCTTTATCCATTAAAAACAAAAACTGCTGAGGAAGTGGCGCATTGTTTGTTGAATATTTTCTGTACCCTGGGAACGCCTTCTGTCCTGCAATCGGATAATGGTCGGGAATTTGTCAACAATATCATTGAAGCGTTGAAAGACATGTGGCCTGATTTGTCAATAGTCCATGGGAAACCGAGACATTCAAAGAGTCAAGGAAGCTATGTTCGGTAATTAAAATTTTTATATATTTTTACGAGAATTTTATTAACAACTTTTGAAAATAATTCATTTCTTTTAAGAAATTTAATTAAAATTTTACTGAAATTTATTATTATATTAATTGATTTTTTGTGAAGAAGAATTTGATAATAAAAGTAAAGAAAAAAAATATAACAAATAAATATTTTTTATAGGAAGAAAAGCACATATCGGGATTCAATCAATACCACATTCTATGAAGTTTTTGCTGCGAACAGAAGAAGATTTGGAGAAAATTTTAGATAATAAAATTGACAACATCGATGAAAACTCCGAAGCCGTTGATGACAGACAAGTAGAAAATTCGACATCTTCAGAACATTTGCTGTGTTGCGTTTGTGAATTAGAAACTTCCGGTGCACATAAATGCAACAAATGTCAAAGGTACGTTCATATTATTTGCGGTGTCAGTGGAACTGAATCTGAAGAAGGTTTTGGATCTCAGTTGCTGTGTACTCTTTGTTTTAATAAAATTCAAATGTGCACCAACAAAGAGAAGGCATTAGAGGGACTGACAGTGCAAGCGGAGGAAATGAAAGAAATCTCCAATAAAAAATTTTCTGAAATCGCAATTGGTACTTCTGCCAAGATACCGATTCCAAGCGTAGATAGAGGTAAGGGAGATTCTCGCAGCGTAATTGGGATTGTGATGGAAGTGTCTGCAGAGGGTTATTACAAAATAGGAACTAAGCATGGTATAATTAGATCTTTATATTCGAGAAACCAACTTTCTTCTTGCGATGAGAAATTTTTAAACCTCGAAGAAGTTCCCAACAAACCAGTTTCTCTGCGACACATTAATGGCGAAGAGTCTCTGTTTGGGTTGCAAGGATTCATTAAATGTAATTGTACAAAAAAATGTGTTAATATGACATGTAAATGTGAAAAAAACAAAATACTTTGTAACTCTAAATGTCATAACGCAAATCCTTGTTGCAATAAGTAATTAAATAATTAATAGTAAAGTTTAAATTAATTTTAATTTTGTCTGACGAATATATTCTATATAAAAAGGAATAATAACAATAAATTTTACCATGTTACCATTCTATATAAAAAGGAATAATAACAATAAATTTTACCATGTTATATATGGAAAATAATTTATTTTAATTCCTAAAATTTCTTACTTACAACATTGCCCAAAGCGATTTGGGCACTCCGCAGTTTGTCCGCCAACACTTGGGCAAAGTACAATATAAAAACAAAATTTAAGACTTTGCCCAAAGCAGCTTGGGCACTCCGCAGTTTGCCCGCCAACACTTGGGCAAAGTACAATACAAAACCAGTATTTCGGACTTTGCCCAAAAGTGCTCGGGCAAACTGCGAAATGACCGGTCAATCCGCGAATTGCCCGCACTCCGGACTTTGACCACAACATATAGAAAAATTTCTAAAGTAGAATGGTTATGCTTAATCCAAAAAAGTATTTCTCGGGGACTCTTGTCGAAGTGCGTAAGGCCAATAGGGCAGGAGTATAAACAATATAAAAAAAAACTTATTTTAACGATACTTTAACTGATTTAAACTTACTTTGACATATTTTAACTATGTTTTAACTTTTTTAACTTTATTTTAACTTAAAAATTTTTAATTTTTAACTCAGAAAATATTTTTATTTAAATCTATAAAAACTTAAGATTATCTAAAAAACCTTTAAACTTATTAAATGATTGAAGCATTTCAGCGGCACCGATTAATTTAAGAAAAAAAAGAAAACTTATTTTCTTTTGTTTCAGAATTTTCTTTATATAAAAATTCATGATATTTACATCTGTAATCGCTGTAAAATAGAAATTAGAATCTCTTCATGACCTAGAAAAGCTTCAATTTTTTTAAACAAGTTTAAATGTTATGTAGCTAACCTTAAGTTTTAAAGATTGAAATAAAAATATTTTCTAAGAAATTCTATCTGAAATTCAATACAGAAAAACTTGACAATATTTCTAAACTTCGAATAATAATAATAATATAAAAATAACGTTAAAATATGTTAAAACATAGTTAAAATAAGTTAAATTAAGTTGAAATAATGTTAAAAAAATTTAAAATAAGTTAAAGTAACGTTGAACTAACGTTAAAGTAACGTTAAATTAAGTTAAAGTAGAGGAGATCATAGTTTACCAAAATTATCACTTATCTAAAAGAAATTTCAGTTTTACTAAAGAGTGCACTTTTATGATTTTTAAAAATGTTGGGGAATTGTAGCCCACTGTCTAGATTGAGTTCAAAATAAAAAATAACGATGAATAATATAATTAAATGGTTAGAAATATTAAAATTGTTATAAATGTTTAATTATTAGTATAAAATTAGAAAACAAAAAGTAAGAAAATGAAATTAATGGGAAATTTTTTTGTTAAATTACTATAACTATGAGTGATTTTAATAATATTTCCAATTAAATCGCCAAAAATAAGCAACAAATACTTCAACAAAAAAAAATGTCCCACAATTCCTCAAATGCTTCATTTTACAAAAAGCTTTGAATTATTTATTCATTTTAATTTAATGCAAGATTTCTTTTTTGGAGTCAAAGTACCAATGACACACAATAATTAAATAAAATATTTTCCATAATTAATTCTTGAAAATCCTTGTATAAACAATAAAAACATAGAAAACCCAAAATAAATATTTGAATGCAATTTTTCAGGTGATTTTTGTTAACGGTTGGTAGGTAATTGTAATGCATTGTAAAGATATGAAATGCTAATGAAAAACTACTTTGGACGAACAGAAGAAAATAATAAAAAAGTGTATGATCAAACTTGTAAATATTATTAAATAATAGAGGTGGCCCAAAATTCCCCAATCTCCCCTAATGTTAAAATATAGTTAAAATAAGTTAATGTAACGTTGAACTAACGTTAAATTAACGTTAAAGTATAGTTAAAATAAAGTTGAAGAATAAGTAGAATGAGATAAAATTACGTTAAGATAAAGTAAAAATGAAAATGGATTAGATTCAATAACTCACAAAACAGTTGGAGAAAAAAATCTAATATGTAGTATAGTTAACTAACGTTAAACTAATGTTAAACTAAAGTTAATCTTATGTAAAAGTAACGTCAAAGTAATGTAATAGGTTTCAACTATTGTTAACTTATTTTTTTTTATTAAAATCTAACTTTTGTATTAGTACACTGAGAAAAATAGATATTAAGCTTTATTATCTAGATATTAATGGTCAATATCTGTGACAGTAAACATCTTAGATGTTTTAATTTAATATCTCATATATTGGAAGAAGACTTGTTCAAACATAACCTCACATTTACAGATTATACTTTTTAATATCTAGATGATATGCATTAGCATCTTTTCTTAATATTTAGTATATTAAGATTTTTAATATCCACTTTTCTATCAGTGTACTCGTCCCCCAAACAAGCATTTAAAGTCCTTTTTAGACTGTTTTAGCACTTAATAAAATGGTGCCATCTTACGGTGGCAGCTGGTACTAAAACTCGGTCGGTAAGGTAGAACACCCCTCCAACTCACCTCAAACTTTAAAAATGAAAATTCAAATATCCCTCCAAGAAAGTTTAAATTCACATGTGGCGCCATCTAACGGTGTCAGCCGGTACTAAAACTCGGTCGGTAAGGTAGAACACCCCCTCTAACCTACTTGAATTACCGACATCGGTCGGTAACTGGGCGAGAACCCGCCTAGCTATACTACTGAATAGTAAGAAATTAAAAGAAAAAATCCTCTAATTAACAAATTAATTTTTATATTTTTTAGTATTATATCATTAATAGCTGCAAGAATAGTTACGCCCCTCGTTTTGTTTGACATCAAAAAATTTTTTTTTTCGTAAAACCTCTGTAGTTCGAAACAGAATCGAGTTACAGCAAAATGATACATGGCAAAATTGTAGCTAAGCCCGACACAAAATTTTCAGCCTTCTTTAAACCATAATTCGAACTTATAATTCTTTATCCCCAAAAAGCATTTACAATTCTTTTAAAACCGACTTATAATATATATTTTCGCCTTACGAAACTACAATCAAGCTAAATTTTGTCACTTTCGTCCAGTTTTTCCTATTTTCTGTTTGTTTGTAGTGTTGTAAGGCTTATTTCGTAGCTTCCAAAAGGTGATAGAAGGCTGGACAGTGCGAATTTATACCTGCTTATTGTACGGTCTTGAGGGTTATTAGAGCGTCATTAGGGTCAATGAAGCACGTACATGTAGGGTGAAGATTCCTTAAGGTAGCGTCAAAGGCGTCTCCAAATTTATGGCCCTATTTTATTGTCCAGCAGGATTAATAAAAAATAATAAATTAAATAATAAATAATAATAGTTTTTGGGTTTATGAATTTTTTATTTGTTACTTTTGCAACTTCCGTTTTTACATTTAAAATTATACATTAATAAAAAGTTATACAATATACATTATTAATTAAAATTTTCTTAAATAAAAGAAAGAAGAATGTAACATTTTTTATGTCCACTTTAAGTTCATAATGTTATTACTAAGTGAATGACGTAAATGAGATGGATTCATATTTTGGTGAAAGAGAAAAGGATGGGCCATGAAGTGATATGAATTTTGTTCATTAAAATTTTGTGAATGTAGATTAGAATTATTTCGATAAAGTGAATTGTTACGTAATGTTGGAGGTTCTGAAGAAGAACCGATTTGTTGTTCTTGTTTAGGTTGCGTGTCAATAAGTTGTACTTGAGGCTTTGGATTTTGAGTTTGATTTGGAGGTTCAGGATCAGATTGAGTATTCATGCAATAAAGGTTTTGAGGGTTATTATCATATTGAGGTTGAGATTGTGAACAAGTTTGATATTGAATTTCATTCTGAGTTTTAGCATTAGATTTATGTTGAGATTGTGGTCGATTTTCAGGATTAGAATCAGATAAAGATTGAAGTTGAAAGAGAGGTTGAGAATTATTTTGCGGTTTAAAATCAAATTTAGGCTGAGGTTGTAAAGAAGGTCTGTTAAGGGGTTCATGATCAAATTGAGGCTGCAGTTGAAGGAGAGGTTGAGATTGATAAAGGTTTTGAGGGTTATTATCATATTGAGGTTGATATTGAATTTCATTCTGACTTTTAGCATTAGATTGAGGTTGAGATTGTGGTTGATTTTCAGGTTTCGAATCAGATGAAGATTGAAGTGGAAAGAGAGATTGAGATTGATGTTTGTTTTTAGGTTTAGGATCAAATTAAGGTTGAATGAAAGGTCGAGTTTCTTGCTGATGCTGTTGTCGTTGTTGTGGAGATTTCTCATCAGATTGATGTTGATGTTGAAAAGTATTTGCTTTTATAAATCGTTCCTCACTTAATTTGACTTTTTTAATACTTTGCTCTTGTTTCTTTTCGTATTTTCTTTTGTTGGAAGCCACTTTATTTATCAAGTTGATATAATCGGCCTTTGTCAAATTTACACCGTCATTTAACAAACTTTTTGCCCATTCTAAACGATAAATAACATAGATTAATTTATACATACATATGAAATTAATTAAATAAAAAACGATAAGCGTATGTTGTATTATTTTGGACGATATTATTATATCAATATCAACTATAATCAATACGTGTAACATTTATTATCTTTTTATTATTTGATTAGTGTTAAAAATAAAAACTTACCAAAAAGTGCTTGAAATAATCGGTAATTAATAGGTGGCCGACTATTAACACTTTTTCCTGTTGCACTATATTTTGTTATTTCTGCTCCATAGATTTCTAAAAGTGTTAATCGAACTAGCTTTTTCCAATCATATTCTCCATCAGTGTAGCAATTCATCTCAATATAAGCTTTTGTTGAACTTTTGATGTAAACGCCTGATTCTTTGCTTATTTCAACCTATAAAATATACATAGTTAAATAATGTACTACATACTACTTTAAAAATTTAACTCGATAATAATCTTCACAATAATAATCATCATTCATTTCTTCATTATCATTAATATGATCGTTATCATAAAAATGCGCTGAAGAGCATGGAGTCTCATCTGTATTAGAAATTTTGGAGGTGGTAGTACTTTCATAATGTTTATCTAAATTTATATTCCGAGAAGATAAATTCAAAGGTTTTGCTAAAGTAACTTCAGTCCTTTTTATTGTTTTTTTTTGTATTAGTAGTTATTTTTTGGTAATGAGATTTTTTTAGGTTGAGGTTTTAAAAGAGGTGGTTTTCTTATTGTAGAATCAATCGGATAATCAACTTCTTCGACACTTGTACTCATTTTTAAATTATAAATTGAATCTGTGTTTCTTATTTCTTGATGAAGTTGCTCGCGTGAGGTTTGTTGGGATTTCTTGACCATTTTTTGTAATTGGAATAAACGTTTCTTTTCATCTAAAACTTCTTTCTCAAATATTTTGGTATTGTTATTACAAATGTTTCCATTAATATCAACAGGAATTTTCTCCAATTCATTTACAGATTCTGAAAATGGTAAATTTAATCTCTGTATTAAAAGTATTGATATGTTTCACAGTAAAAGAAAGTTCTATTCTAAGGCAGCAAGACAATCTTAAATTAAGAAACAACATTTTTAAGACAGTTAATGTTAAATTTACGCAATGGATTTTATGTAATTCAACATTATAGCAGACAGTGCTGAATTTAAGACTGGTCTTAAATGAGAGATTTGGAATGAAACTTTCTATAAAGTTCATTTTAATTTCACAGCAAAACGAAAGTCTTATTTTCAGACTAATTTTAAGATGCAGTCTTAAATTAAGATGCATTATTTTTATGACACCTAATACTGAATTTACACAAAGGATTTTGTATGATTTAACCTTTTAGTAGATAGTGCTAAATTTAAGACTGATCTTAAATTAAGATTAAGTTACTCAAATACAAATAGACTTGTGTAAGTTTTGCAAAGTTGCATGAGAAATTTGCTATAGGTTGGACGTTTGAGGCTTCGGACAATCTTATGACCTAAATTTAAGCAGGATATTCTTAGGTACAGTAGTGTTCAATGAAGCCTTACTCGGACGAACGTGTTACACTAATGGGAAATATATGAGTGCAACACGTTCATCGGAGTAAGGCTTTATTGAACACTACTGTACATTATCCAGGTATAGAATCCTTCTAACATCATAAATGATTCTTGAACGCATTTAGTTAGTTATTAACCGTACTGAGTGCAGGAACCGCACAAGTCTTGACAAGTTTATACATTTATTTAAGTTTAAGAATTAAAATTACTCAAATTAGAAATATTAGTGCGGGATTGATAATTTTTTTTAATAATGTTAAGAAAATCATTTAAAGATTTATCAGTAAAAAGACAAAAAATATATTCTAAGAACATTATCAATGTGAATAGTCAAATTCAACGCCAAACACAATGCAAAGAACATAATGAAGTAAGTAAAGAATTATTTAGTTCATTTTAGAATTTATTTTAAGAAAGAAATATTAATAATATTAATAATAATTAATGGGCCTTAATTAAACTATCTTCCCAAGTAGCACATATTAATGTTAATGTAATAACACACGTGTATATAAAGTAAATAAAAAATGATGTAAAATACATATCTATTGATTAAAAAAGAAAATTTTTTCTAATTTCATTTTTAGAAAAAAAGATTTTGTACATTTTTTTTAATCGTGTAATATTACAATAATATTACTGTATGTTACAATAATATTACTGTAATACAACAGTATTATCACAGGGTAATGTTACTGTAACATTACGTGCTACTTGGGCGAACAGAATTGTCAATATTGCCACGTAATATTAATGGAATATTATTGCCATGTGTTGTGGTAATTGGACAGATATAATAAAAATTGTTCTTTTCATATACAGTCGGGTCCCCATACTGTTACATTTCCAGAAATTTCCCACTCCTCCAGACTCAGCTCTGTTATGTGCTCAAAGTATGCCTACTGCGCACCTTTCAGGAACGTAAATATATACACCTCAAGTTTGGCCTAGAAGTATATGCCCCCTTTTCTTTGGGCTTAAGAATACGGCCCTGAAAATTGGTGACGTAACGTGACGTCACCTAACACTTCTGAATTTGGAGGTTATGCAAAAACATAACACTACTGAGGACATAACAGTTTGGAATCTAACAGTATGGGGACCTGACTGTAGGTTAACTACAATCAAGAAGTTAACAATCATAGTGAAAATAATTCAAATTAATATGGAACCAGTGGTATCATTCAAGAAACAAATGAGAAGCAACATTCTTATTTTATTGAACATGAAGAGGAAATAGAAATGAAAAATTGTAATGGATATTTTCATGAACAACAGATAAATGAAGAAGAGGAGAATTTAGAAGCAGATGAGGCAGAAGAGAATGACACAGAAGATGCAGATGAAGTTGCTGAAGATAGTAAAGAGGACGATGAAGAAGAAGACGTGGTAGAAGATGAAACAGCAAATTATGATGAACTTTTATATGATAGTGCACAATTAAGTATTGCGCAAAGTATGTTGTAGATTTTAACAATTCTTCTGAGACATAATGTGACTCTTTCTTGCATTTCTGATATAATAAGTGTTATTAACTTGCACTGTCCTTCAAAAACCTTATATAAAAATAGTTTATATAAACTCAAAAAATTTTTTTCTTTATTCGAAAATAATCAAAAGACATATAAGAAGCATTATTATTGTCCTTCATGTTTAAAAAGTTTAGCCTCAGTTAAAGATTTTTGTTTTGATTGTAAAGAAATCAGCAAACGAAAGAAAAGTTATTTTCTTGAGTTATCTATTTTTGACCAGTTACAAAAAATGTTTAAGAGACCAGGATTTTATGAACAATTACAACATCGATTTCAGAGAATTAATTCAAAATTTAATGTTATACGTGACATATACGATGGAAATTTATATAAAATGTTATTTAATGAAGGACATTTAAAAAATGTAAATAATATTTCTTTTACGTGGTACCCAGATGGAGTACCTGTTTATAAATCATCACAAGTGAGTATGTGGCCACTATATTTAACCATTAATGAATTGCCATTTATAGAACGTACAAAGAGAGAAAATGTAATTTTAGCAGGATATTGGTTTGGTTCTCAAAAACCTAATGCTAATTTATTTCTTCACAAACTTCATCATCAATTTATTAAATTAGCAAAAGGAGTAAGATTTTATTTGTCTGAAGAACACCTAATAAAAGTTTGCGCTTCATTACTGATAGGGACTTGTGATTTAGTTGCAAAAAGTCTGTTTTTGAATATTTCCCAGTTTAATGGAGAATGTGGTTGCCCTTCATGCTTAAGCTCTGGTTAGTCAATTTTATTAGATTCAGGTGGAAAAACTCGTGCGTATGCTTATGTAGAAAATCCCAAATTGCGAACAATTGAACAATATCTGAAAGATTCTGATGAAGCATTAATAAAAAAGAGGCCCATAAACGGAGTAAAGGGACCATGTTCTTTAGAAAAAATGATGTCTAATTTTATTGTTGGAACAGCATATGATAGAATGCACGGAATTGACAGTGGCGTAATAAAAAAGCTCCTCACTCTTTGGTTTGATAGCAAGTATAATACGTTTGATTTTTCTTTGTATCAAGTTATCAACGTAGATGATAAATTATTAATAACAATTAAACCCCCGAAATTTGTTTATCGCATTTCTCGAAGTGTAAAAGAACTTGTACATTGGAAAGCATCTGAATTAAGAATGTGGTATTTTTATTACGCTTTACCTGTGCTGAAGGAGATAATGAGACCAAAATTTTTTGAACATTTTTTAAAACTAGTCGTTGGTATAACCTTATTAAATGCTGACATAATAACTGATGTCACATTGACTAAAGCAAAAAAACTATTGAATGAATTCGTTCGAGATTTCGAAATATTGTATGATATAAAATTTTCTTCAATTAATATTCATTTGATTTGTCACATTCCCGAGCATGTATTTAATTTAGGACCCTTATGGGCTTATTCATGCTATCCGTATGAAGATTTAAATGGCAAATTTTAAAACGTAATTCATGGGACAAGATTCATAGATTCTCAAATAGTAAATGCTCATTATATATATATATATATATATATATATATATATATATATATATATATATATATATATATATATACTAGGGGGGCTCTTCTTCTTTCTTTAATAATTTACGTCAATAGTATTTTATAATATTTAAAAATTATAATTATTGGTTTAAAAAAAAAAAAAAACATAAAATTCATAAATAAATAACATAAATAACATAAAATTCTATGTTGAAATTATGAATTTTATTATTATTGTTAATTATAATAATTATAATTTATTAATAATTATTATAAAAGTAAAAAAGGTTGTTTTGAATATACTATAGCTTTCACTTGCAAGAGGCCTTTGAGGTTATACTTGCCCTGTGACCTGTCTTTGGGGATAAAGAGGGAGGGGCAATTTTGAGGTTATATTTGACGTGTGACATGTCAGTGAGAATAGAGGAGAGGGGAGATTTTGAGGTTATGATTGTCCAGTGACCTGTGAGTGGGAAGAAGGGGTGTAATGTAATAATATAAATGAGGGTTTAAGGTAATGTTTTGAGGGGGTTTCGAGGTTACATTTGTCATGTTACCTATGAGTGGGGAGGGGGGTTTGTGGTCATATTTGCCATGTGACCTATGAGTAGGGAGGGAGTTTTAAGGTTATGTTTGACCTGTGAGTGGGAAGGGGGTTTTGAGGTTATGTTTGACCTGTGAGTGGGAACGGGGTTTTGAGGTTATGTTTGACCTGTGAGTGGGAACGGGGTTTTGAGGTTATGTTTGCCCTTTGACCTTCAATGGGAAGGGGGTTTTGAGGTTATGTT